AAGCCCAGTGTTGATGCTGGCTGGTTTACACGTGTACTTCTGCTGTTTAATACATGAGTGAGATTATTCTACATTCTGCTAAATATTTCAAATATTCAAAGCTCTTTGTTTACAGGCTCCACAGAAACCAGGGCCAAGCCTATCCAGAAGAAGCAGCCTTTGGAGGAGGAGCTACAGCAGTGAACATGAAAGGCTTCATGTAGGAGCTGAAGAGCTGCTGTGTTCTCTCTATTGTTCATTCAGTCCAAGAGGAAATCATGTTGCTGCTTTTCATTTGGATGATGATAGTCTCCTTTCAGACTGGTGAGTCATCAAAAGATGGAGTGAGATGTAAAAGGAGATGATGGACATGAAAATATCTGGATGTTGTTTGAATTGATTCACTTTTTATAAACTACGTTTAAAGATGCAGAAACATGATGGTGAAATATGTCTTTGTTGTTTTCAGGATCCTCTGAGGATTTACTGACACCATCTAAAGATGTAGTGATGAGTTTGGAAGGAGACACTGTGACTCTCTCCTGCAACTATTCAGGCTCTGTATATTCACTTTTCTGGTACCATCAGAAGTCTGGTTCACATCCACAGCTTGTTATGGCAGATTATTCAAAGCAAACAGAAAAGCTGAAGTTTATACATGACAAAGAAAAACAGGAGTTTCATCTGGAGCTCTCCTCTGCTGCAGTGTCTGACTCTGCTGTGTACTACTGTGCTCTGCAGCCCACAGTGACAGGAAACAGCAAAACTCTGCACAAAAACCTTTGGAGCAAAGACAACAGAATACTCCACAACATCCACTAGAGGGAGCCACACACTGTTAAACCTCTGGTTTGTTAGCACACAGGAGGGTCTCAGTCTTGTTTAAGAGGTTTAAAGTTCAAGCTCTGGATCCAATGAGGTCTGTCTGACAAATCCTTTTTATGCTGCAAAGAGAAACTACCAGTTTGAGTCAAACACTCATGAGAACTGTGGCCTTGTCAAAGTGAAAGACACTGTAGAACCATCAGGACCTTTATTATTAGTGGATCTATTTATTTAAGCCTGTCTGTATACTTTAGGGTCCATGTGAATTAGAGAAAATCCAAAATAAAGTCAAACTTGTGAAGC